GCCCTGAACTGATTATACCCACTGCATACCAATTCCAAACTCCTGTGAAAGAGGACTTAATCCATAAAGCTTTGCTGCACTGATTGTGCTGATGGTGGAGGGTGGTGTCCCATGGCACTTACTAACTTGATTGCCAGGTTCACCCTTATGGGAGGAGAAAAGGGTTCTTAGGGAAGGGGCTGTGTGCATAGCAGATACTCTCTAAAATCTCTACCGTGACTGATAGGACTGTGCAGTATCTGCCAAATGAATGAATGATTGAATGACAGGAGACTCAGGTTTCTCCAACTTCAAAGTGCATGCTCTTTCTAATACATCATGTAGCCTTCAAATGTTTGCATGTGAGATAACTGTTTCCATTACCTCAGTAAAAGAGAATAGTCTTGTATAAGGGCATACCCAGGAAACAGATGGCACATTCAAATCACAATAATTTGAGGAAGTTTAATAAAGATTTATTTGCAAAGGTGTGGGCATGGTGTAGGGAAATCACAAGGGCAGTGGGCAGTTCCCAGAATCTAGTATTAGAGAGGCTGAGCCTGAAGAGGTAACGGGAGATGGTGGTTCAAACTTAGAAACAGAGAGCTATGTAGAGGGGGTCACATGGCAGGAGTGAGATCTTAGCAAGGGGACTCAAGTGAGTCCACAACCCTCAAAGGGAAACAGAGGATTAAATACCCAACCTCACACTCCTACTTCCCTCTGATATTCTGCCTATGCTACTCACTGGCTGAACCCAATAGAAAGCCAGGGAAGTAAGGGAATCTATTGATGTGGTCCATACAGGTTAGCCTCAAAGCCCAGAGCTGGGTGAAGAAGATAAGGAATTAAACAGAAGAAAGAAACAGCTATCTAGATCGTTAGACTGGAAAATAAAAATAAACACGTGTAGTCAGATTTGAAACCCAAAAATGAGATTTGTAAGGGTGTTCCTAGAGGCTCTAGATATGTTTAATTTTCATGTCCTGGGTAAGCCATATATATTAAACTGATTACTTCAGCTGAAGTCACTAATTATGGTGCCTCAGGGGCTTCCTTGGAGGTCCAGGACTCTGGACACTCCCTCTCCACTCCTATCAGAACAGCTCTGCTTTTATTTGGTTAATACAACAGGATTCTGCTTAAGATTTCATTGAGGAAACAGCGCTATAGCACCACCTATAGTCAGGCAATATGCTAAGGACTCGAACCACAGACAAGTGGGGAAGACAGAAAAGTAAGTAACAGTACAGTGTTAGGAAAACGCACAGGTGATGAAGGGTTAAAGAAAGTCCAGTGAACCCAGAAGGGGCGAGGGATCAAGGAAGGCTTCCCGGAGTCGGTAACTGGAAAGGGAGGCAAGGAAGCTCAGAGGACACTGCCGTTGTCTAAAGAGGGAAGAGGAGCCCAACATTATGCAATTCGCTGAAAGGGGGGCTATCACCTGGAAAGAACTAGGATACAGATCCGCGTACAAGGCTCGGAGCTAGGGTGACTGCACGTGACGGGCAAAGATCTTCGCTCAGTCCAGCCTCCAGCCCTGCTCCGCCCCCATCCCATCCCACCCCACCGACAGCCAAAGGGGCGCGGCATTTCAACAACTGCACTCGGCAGGGGGAACATCCCAAGCCCGAGGTCCGCATCACCAGCTGGGGCGGATGTCTGCAGAGTCTCCCAGAATAGCTGGTGTCTCCCAGACTGGTTTGGTTAGGGCTCTCTTGCCCGGGAGGGCTAGCCAAGGACAAGGCGCTCATTGGTTGCCATAGAGGCGATCCGAGAGGCTGGGGAAGGCTGATTGGCCGCAGGTTCTTAGCGCGGACCACGCCCGCCTCCTCTGCCAGCTGCAATCAGGTCAGGGCCCCGAGGCCTCTTGGGTAGTTTATTGGTGCGGTGCCAAACCGGGCTGGTTAACATGGCGCCGGATTTAGATGGGAGGAAAGTAGGGCCGGGCCACAGCTGAGGTCGGGCTGAGTCGGGACTCTCAGTAGAATTCCTGGGTTTTCTTCCCACATTTTCGGCCCTTCGGCCGGGCTGCGGTAACCCTAGAGCCTGGTCGCGCGGTCTGGTGACCAGTGACTTTGCATCGGGAGATGACGCGCATTTCAGGATGGCTTCTAGTTAATGCATTTACAGGAGTTTTCGCTGTCCCTGTGGGCTCTTGTGCCCCCAGGGACCAAGGCAGAGGCTGCAAGGGATACAGGGCCAGGGCGGTGTATCTCTAGCGCTACAGCCCCACCATGCGTCGGTTCCCGTCTGGCGCTCGTGGCTCCTGCGAGCCGGACCTTGAACCAGAAAGTGCGTGGCCTTGAGAAGACAGTTCTAGGTCACTCAACCTGGTTTTCCAGCATTCATGGCCATACTTGCTCTTCTCCATCCACGTTGAACGCAACATTTTTATGACGAATCACGCAGTTCCTCTTGCCTGGAGTTACTAGTCCCTGCCAACGCCGCACCCCGCCCCATTTTCTACCTTTTAATTCACTATTCTTTAAGGCTTAGATCTAGTATCACCTCAGTATAAAGCCTGCCCATTCTTCAGGATAGTTATTCTATTACCTCTTAAGGAGTGCAGGCTCAGGAAGTGGTGCCCAGTTAGTATTGCGGCTATGCCATTTGAAATGCGCTGTGATTTTGAGCAAATTACTTAACCTCCTTGAGCCTCAGTTTTGCTTCTCAAAATGGAGGTAGTATTACTTCAAGGGTTTTGTGAGGTTTAGATGTAACGTTGTTAGAACCTAAGTGCTTAATAGTTGTGAATGCTGTTATTATCTGTCATCCCAGTGTACTTTGTATAGGCTTGTTATTAAGTTTGCCCATTGTATAACCATTATTTGTTCTTATCCGCCCTGTTAGAGCTTAAAAGCTGGAACTGTGTTTTGTTTATAGCATCAGCGTAAATAGTGCTGGGAAAATGTTATATTGTTTCTCAGAAAACTTTGTAAAAAGCACCCTTTCCTCTCTTTTCGCTTTTTTCCTTTTTTCTTTCCTTCACTTTTTCTTTTTACTCTTAAAGACTCCTTGAGACAGGAATTTTTAAACTTGGAGAGGGAGCTGAGATCCTGAGGCAAGAATAAGCACTTCTTTGTTCTCCATGGTGACCAGGAAAGCCTTAACATTTCCCTTTCCCTTGACTACACTTAGGGCAAGTTTCTTCTTGACTGTTGTCTCCTGATCTCTTTTTTCTCAGCGCATTTACTTTAGAAACTTGCAATTACAAATTCTTTCTCTGCCCCTTTGAAATGTACAGAAATCTCCCTAAAAGCCCCTTGCCAGTTTTAAGACCCAGGGAATGTTTTCTCAAGAGCCATCCCTTTGAAGTGTAATCCTCAAGGAAGATAGCACCCCTGTTTCCTAGTCTCTGTGGGAGGGTAGGAGCCCAACTTTACTGGGTGTCTTGCTCCAAATTGTAAAATACAGCATATAAACTTACTTTTCCTTTGGGTAAGAGCAATTACCACCCACAGGTGGCCTAAGATCTCCCTACTGCAGCTCTTAAAAACTCTCCAGCCACTTGTTTCAGCAGAGTTGAATTCAGTCTCCTACCTCTTGCAGTAGCCTTAAATAAAATCTTTCTTGTCTGCTTAACTTTGCCTTGGTGTAGTCTTTCTTTGATAATGTAAATGTTTAGGTTCTGTGCTTATTGTTTCTTCTTGATTACAGTGTTGTCTCATTTCTTACTTCTTGCTGTCTGAGAAGTGCTTATCACATGTCCTCTATTATCTAGGGATTCACCAATTTGGACTGAAAAGAGTAGAGCTTTGTGGAGTGAAGCTACTGCTTCAATTCACTGCAGGGTAGTTAGTATGTGATGTGCAGGATGTGGAAAGGGCAGTACATCTATTTGAGGGCATCCCAAGTGAGGTGTGTTCATCTTATGGAATTAGCACCAGAAAACAAAGCACAGGCCTATGCCCTTTCCTTTCCTATCTATTATGAAAGGAGCATGAGAAAGATGTAATTTTCAAAAAAAGAGAACAGCTGAGAATATAATGCCCTCTCAAGGGACACTGGCTTTTGTTAAGAAGAGAAGCTAAGCCAGAGAGGAAGGGTTGCAAACAGAAAGCATTCTGCAGTGGTGGAGGTAGTGTGGAGAGGTGTTCCTTAAAGTACGGGGAATTAAGTGGACCCATTTACGACGAGGAGGTAAAGTGGAATAGGACTGAATTGGAATGAAATGAAAGATGGTTGAGAAAAACAGGCAGTAGGGAGAGGGGAGTTAACTAGGAGTATGGGTAACAGGGAAGGAAACTGGTAGCCTAAGAAGCTTGGTAGAAGCACTTATTACTTGGATCTGAAGGGAAATATCAAACAGTCATGTATTTAAGGAAACTAGAGGACTTAGGAAGAAGGGGTTTGACACCTGGCCTCTCCCCTTCCCCTTCCCCGACACACACAAGCATAAACACACATTGAATGCAGTGTTGATTATTTAATGCCACCACAAATTCTCCCTCATGGCCTAGTGGAGGCAAACAAGATAAAGCTCAGGCTGCTGATCCTTAGTTTTTCTTTTTCTTCTTTTTCTCTAACTGACTTTTCTTAATGTCAACACTGCTCCCTAATTCCCTTTTTCTTACTTCTTCCTCTACTGTTTCTCATGTAGGAGCAGGGTGGATGAGGGCAGATTCAGGAAGTGAGAGTGGAGTGTGAGAAAGAAAAACAGATTAAAATGATAAGTTGAAAGAGAAAAAAGTTTACCTAAATGTATATGCAGAACTCAGGCTAGGAAGAGCATGTATAGAAAGAAAATGAAATGGACTTAAGTGTGCTTATAGATCCTGTTGTGATAACTTAGAAGAAAATCACTCAGGAAAGTCTCAAATTCTCCTGAGGAGGGTCCAAGAGAAAACAGTGCTTAAAGTTACATCAGACAGATGAGCATTAGACATCAATAGGATCTTCCAGGTCTGATGCTATTGCAAAGGAAGCTATGAATGCTCTTTCCTGGAGCCTTTCAGCACTGGAGAGTTACCCAATAGTCAGGGTTGGAGGAGGGATCTTCCCCTCCAGGAGTCTTCCCACTAGACAGACTCTGCCTGGGAAAAGCTGCTCCTCCCAAAGGCCCTCACCATGGCCCCTTTCATTTCTTTATTTCAAAAACTGTAGATGATGGTATTGCACATCGGGGTGATAATGGTGTAGAGGAGAGAGAAAGGCTTGTCTTTGTCAGGACCATGTGTGCTGTGTGGTTCATGTAAGAGAACATGGCTGAGGTGTAGAAAAAGATGACCACAGTCAGATGGGAGGCACAAGTAGAGAAGGTCTTCCCCAGACCAGAGGAGGAGGCTCTGCCCTGAATGGAGGCCAGGATGCGGGCATAAGAGATGACAGTGAGCACCATGGGGCTGAGCAGCACCACGATGGCATCGGCAAAGATGACTCTCAGACTAAACTGGGGGTCTCCATAGAGAGAGCAATCACTATGGGGGCCTCGCAGAAGAAGTTTTCTATGTGGTTGTCTCTGCAGAAGGGATTCTGGAATAACATATACTCAAGAAAGATGCCATTGATCAGCCCAAAGAACCACGCAGTACTCACCAGGACTCACATGGACCTGCTGGCTCATGATCTGGGCACAGCTAAGTGGGTGGCAGATAGCAACATAATGGTCATAGACCATGAAAGCCAAGAGGATGCACTCAGCCACACCCACACCAAAAACCAGATACATGTGGGTCAAGCACGAGGCAAAGGAGACAACACAGTTCTTGACCACCAGGTGGATCCGCATCAGCATTCCACCAGGTGGAATGGTGGTAGGAACGAAGTAGATATTCAGGAAGGATAGGTGGCCAAAGAACTGTGTGGGGCTGTTGAGCCTGGGATCTGTCCAGGTGATGAAGATGATGAGGCCATTCATGGGCATGGCAGAGGGCTAGGAAGAGGACAAAGAGCAATGCCCGTGTGGAAGGGGAGCTCTGCTCGAAGCCCATGAGGATAAACTCGATCACTGTGCTCCTATTCCCTATATCCACAATCTGAGGCCTGCTTGAAGAGGGAGGACAGCAAAACACAGACAGGATACCTGTGTACAGGTTTTATCCACGTGTATAAAAATAGATTAAGGGCAAAAGGGTGAAAGAGATGGGAATTTCAGTAAACTCCATGTGAGTCGGCAGTGTCATGGGCACTGAAAATACCAGTTCTACTGTAGGCAGGAATAATGGAAACATATTATGAACCAAGAGAGATTCTGTTGTACTTCGTATGAATCAAGAGAGATTCTGTTGTACTTCATATGATTCTGTTGTACTTCGTATGAATCAAGTTGGACCTGAAATATTGTATCCAGTTCTGTGATATCTACTTCAAATGATTATATACCAATGGGATTATGTTCAGAGACAAAAAAGATTGCGAATGATCTAGGAACCACGTGACAAAGAACAGTATGGAGGTTCCTTAAAAACTACAAACCCAAACAGACACTCACCAAGACATATCATAATTAAAATGGCAAAAGTTAAAGAGAGAATACAAAAGGCAGCAAGAGAAAGACAAAGGGTCATATTACAAGGGAACCCTGAGGCTATCAGTTGACTTTTCTGTAGAAACTTTGCAGGCTAGAAGGGAGGGGCATTATATATTTAAAGTGCTGAAAGAGAAAAACCTGCAACTCAAGACACTCTACCCAGGAAGGTTATCATTAAGAATTGAAGGAAATATAAAGAACTTCTCAGAGAACCAAAAACTAAGAGTTCATCAATACTAAACCAACCTTACAAGAAATGTTAAAGGGTCTTCTCTAAATGGCAAAGTAAAGGCTGCAACAAGAAGTAAGAATCTATAGGAAAGGAAAACCCCCACTAGTAAAGGCAAATATATAGTAAAGGCTGTGGATCAACCACTTAAATAAGCTGGTATGAAGATTAAAAGACAAAAAATATAAAACCAACTATAACTGCAATAAACAGTTAAGGGATAAACACGAAGATGTAAGATATGACATAATAAAACACAAAACGTGGGGGGGGGGAGAAAAAATGTAGATCTTTTGGAATGTGTTTGAACTTAAATGATTACCAGTTTAAAACAAGTAGACATAGTTATAGGTCAATATATATGAACCCCATTGTAATCAGAAATCAAAAATATACAACAGATATACAAAAACTAGAGAGAAAGGAACACAAACATACCATTGAAACAAATCATCAAACCACAAGGGAAGAAACTAAAAGGAGAAAAACAGAACAGAGAACTACAAAAACACCTGGAAAACAAGTGCAAAATGGCAATAAGTACACAACTATCAATAATTACTTTAAGTGTCAATTGGACTAAATCCTCCAATCAAAAGACATAGGATGGCTGATTGGATAAGCAAAAAAGGTCTTTCTACCTGCTTCTTAAAAGAGACTCACTTCAGCGCTAAACACACAGACTGAAAGTGAGGGGATGGAAAAGATATTTCATGTGAATGGAAATGACAAGAAAGCTGGGGTAGGAGTACTCACTCATATCAGACAAAATAGACTTTAAAACAAAGTGCTGTTTGGGAGTGACAGGTACACTTACTATGTTTAAAATAGATAACCAACAAGGACCCACTGTATAGCACAGGGGACTCTGCTAAATATTCTGTAATAACCTAAATGGGAAAAGAATTTGAAAAAAAATAGATAACATGTATAACTGAATCACTTTGCTGTACACCTGAAACTAACAGAACATTGTTAATTGACTATGCTCCAATATAAAAGTTAAAAAAAACAAAGTGTATAATAAAAGACAAATAAAGGCATTATATAATGATAAAGGGATTAATAGAAGAAGAGGATATAACATTTGTTAACATATATGCACCTAATATAGGGGCACCTAAATATATAAAGTAAATATTAACAGATGTATAGGGAGAGACTAACAATAATACAATAATAGTAGAGGACTTTAACACCCCGCTTACATCAATGGACAGACCAACCCAACAGAATATCAATAAGGAATCATTGGCCTTAAATGACACATTACACCAGTTGGACTTAATAGATCTATTATCTGCAGGACATTCCATCGAAAAATAGCAGAATACACACCACAAAACAAGTATCAACAAATTTAAAAGGACAGAAATTACATCAAGTATTTTTTCCAACCACAATGATATGAAACTAGGAATCAATTACAGGAAGAAAAATGAGAAAAGAGCAAACACATGGAGACTAAATAACATGCTACTAAATAATCAATGGGTCAAAAAAGAAATCAAAGAGAAAATGAGAAAATGCCTCAAGACAAATAAAAATAAAAACACAGATTTCCAAAATCTATAGGACATGGCAAAAGCAGTTCTAAGAGAAAAGTTTATAGTGACTATACAGGTCTAACTCAAGAAAGAAAAAAAAGCTCAAATAAAAATCTAAATGTAGGGGCTTCCCTGGTGGCTCAGTGGTTGAGAGTCCGCCTGCCAATGCAGGGGATATGGGTTCGTCCCCTGGTCCGGGAAGATCCCACATGCCACAGAGTGGCTGGGCCTGTGAGCCATGGCCGCCGAGCCTGCATGTCCGGAGCCTGTGCTCCGCAACGGGAGAGGCCACAACAGTGAGAGGCCCACGTACCGAAAAAAAAAAAAAAATCTAAACGTACATTTAAAAAAATTAGAAAAAGAAGAACAAGTAAACACCAAAATAGGTAGAAAGAGGAAGTAATAAAGGTTGAGTGGGAATAAGTGAAAAAGAGACTTAAAAAAAATCAATGAAACTAAGAGCTGATTTTTTTAAAAGGTAAACAAAATTAGAAAAAAACGGCCTGTGGGGTCTCCAGGAGCCACAGCTCTCGGGGCAGGTCACAGGCAGAGCTGGAGGCCTCCTTGGCCCTGACAGGCTGCAGCACCCGACGTCAAATGATCCAAAAGTCTCTGGAGTCCTCTGTGTGACCTTCGAGGACCCATCAACCTGAAAACAGAGCAGGATGCAGGTGTTTCGACCGTGGAGGCCATAGTGCCGTGTGGCTGACAGGGTCTTGGTGCTCCTGCCAGGTGTCAGGGCTGTGCCTCTGAGGTGCGAGAGCCGAGTTCAGGACATTGATCCACCAGGGACCTCCCAGCTCAACATAATATCAAGTGGAAAAGTTCTTCCAGAGATCTCCATCTCAACGCTAAGACGCAGCTCCACTCAATAACCAGCAATCTACAGTGCTGGACACCCTATGCCAAACAACTAGCAAGACAGGAACACAACCCCACCCATTAGCAGAGAGGCTGCCTAAAATCATACAAAGTTCACAGACATACCAAAACATACCACCGGATGCAGTCCTGGCCACCAGAAAGACAAGATCCAGCCTCATCCACCAGAACACAGGCACTAGTCTCGCCCCTCCACCAGGAAGATGACACAACTCACTGAACCAACCTCAGCCACTGGGGGCAGACACCAAAAACAACAGGAACTATGAACCTGCAGGCTGTGAAAAGGAGACCCCAAACACATTAAGGTAAGCTAAATGAGAAGACAGAGAAACACACAGCAGATGAAGAAGAAAGGTAAAAACCCACCAGACCAAAAAATGAGGAGGAAATACGTAGTCTACCTGAAAAAGAATTCAGAGTAATGATAGTAAAGGTGATACAAAATCTTGGAAATAGAATGGAGAAAATACAAGAAACGTTTAACAAGGACCTAGAAGAACTAAAGAGCAAACAAACAGTGATGAACAACACAATAAATGAAATTACAAGTTCTCTAGAAGGAATCAATAGCAGAATAACTGAGGCAGAAGAACGGAGAAGTGACCTGGAAGATAAAATAGTGGAAATAACTACTGCAGAGCAGAAAAAAGAATGAAAAGAACTGAGGACAGTCTCAGAGACCTCTGGGACAACATTAAACGCACCAACATTCGAATTATAGGGGTTCCAGAAGAAGAAGAGAAAAAGAAAGGGACTGAGAAAATATTTGAAGAGATTATAGTTGAAAACTTCCTGAATATGGGAAAGGAAATAGTCAATCAAGTCCAGGAAGCACAGAGTGTCCCACAGACGACAAATTCAAGGAGAAACATGGCAAGACACATATTAATCAAACTCAAAAATTAAATACAAAGAAAAAATATTAAAAGCAGCAAGCGAAAAACAACAAATAACATACAAGGGAATCCCCATAAGGTAAAGAGCTGAACTTTCAGCAGAAACTCTGCAAGCCTGAAGGGAGTGGCAAGACATATTTAAAGTCATGAAAGGGAAAAACCTACTACCAAGATTACTCTACCCAGAAAGGATCTCATTCAGATTTGACGGAGAAATTAATACCTTTACAGAGAAGCAAAAGCTAAAAGAATTCAGCACCACCAAACCAGCTTTACAACAAATGCTAAAGGAACTTCTCTGGGAAGGAAACACAAGAGAAGGAAAAGACCTACAATAACAAACCCAAAAGAATTAAGAAAATGGTAATAGGAACATACATATGGATAATTACCTTAAACGTAAATGGATTAAATGCTCCAACCAAAAGAAACACACTGGCTGAATGGATACAAAAACAAGACCCGTATATATGCTGTCTACAAGAGACCCACTTCACACTTAGGGATACATACAGACTGAAATTCAGGGGATGGAAAAAGATATTCCATGTAAATGGAAATCAAAAGAAAGCTGGAGTAGCAATTCTCATATCAGACAAAGTAGACTTTAAAATAAAGACTATTACAATAGACAAAGAAGGACACTACATAATGATCAAGGGCTCAATCCAAGAAGAAGATAGAACAATTGTAAATATTTATGCACCCAACATAGGAGCACCTCAATACATAAGGCAAATGCTAACAGCCATAAAAGGGGAAATTGACAGTAACACAATCATAGTAGGGGACTTTAACACCCCACTTTCACCAACGGACAGATCATCCAAAATGAAAATAAACAAGGAAACACAAGCTTTAAATGATACATTAAACAAGGTGGATGTAATTGATATTTATAGGACATTACATCCAAAAACAACAGAATACATTGTCTTCGCTAATGCTCATGGAACATTCTCCAGGATAGATCATATCTTGGGTCACAAATCAAGCCTTGGCAAATTTAAGAAAACTGAAATTGTATCAAGTATGTTTTCCGACCACAATGCTATGAGACTAGATATCAATTACAGGAAAAAAATCTGTAAAAAATAAAAACATATGGAGGCTAAACAATACATTACATAATAACCAAGAGATCACTGAACAAATCAAAGAGGAAATCAAAAAATACCTAGAAACAAATGACAATGAAAACACGATGACCCAAAACCTATGCGATGCAGCAAAAGCAGTTACTTTTAAGAGGGAAGTTTATAACAATACAATCCTACCTCAAGAAACAAGAAACATCTCAAACAAACAACCTAACCTTACATCTAAAGCAATTAGAGAAAGAAAAAAAAAAACCCAAACTGAGCAGAAGGAAAGAAATCATAAACATCAGACAAGAAATAAAGGAAAAAGAAATGAAGAATAGCAAGGAACAATAAAATGAAAAGCTGGTTCTTTAAGAAGATAAACAAAATTGATAAACCATTAGCCAGACTCATCTAGAAAAAAAGGGACAAGACTCAAATCAATAGAGTTAGAAATGAAAAAGGAGAACAACTGACACTGCAGAAATACAAAGGATCATGAGAAATTACTACAAGTAACTCTATGCCAATAAAATGGACAACCTGGAAGAAATGGACAAGTTCTTAGGAAAGCACAACCTTCCAAGGCTGAACCAGGAAGAAATAGAAAATATAAACAGACCAATCACAAGCACTGAAATCGAGACTGTGATTATAAATCTCCCAACAAACAAAAGCCCAAGACCAGATGGCTTCACAGGCGAATTCTATCAAACATTTAGAGAAGAGGTAACACCTACCCTTCTCAAACTCTTCCAAATTATAGCAGAGGGAGGAACACTCCCAAACTCATTCTACGATGCCACCATCACCCTGATACCAAAACCAGACAAAGAAGCCACAAAGAAAGAAACTACAGGCCAATATCACTGATGAACATAGATGCAAAAATCCTCAACAAAATACTAGCAAACAGAATCCAACAGCACATTAAAAGGATCATACACCATGATCAAGTGGGGTTTATCCCAGGAATGCAAGGATTCTTCAATATAGGCAAATCAATCAATGTGATACACCATATTAAAAAAATGAAGGAGAAAAACCATATGATCATCTCAATAGATGCAGAAAAAGCTATCAACAAAATTTAACACCCATTTAAGATAAAAACCCTCCAGAAAGCAGGCATAGAGGGAACTTTCCTCAACATAATAAAGGTCATATATGACAAACCCACAGCCAACATCATTCTCAATGGTGAAAAAGTGAAACCATTTCCTCTAAGATCAGGAACAAGAAAAGGCTGTTCACTCTCACCACTATTGTTCAACATAGTTTTGGAAGTTTTAGCCACAGCAATCAGAGAAGAAAAAGAAATAAAAGGAATACAAATTGGAAAAGAAGAAGTAAAGCTGTCACTGTTTGCAGATGACATGATACTCTACATAGAGAATCCTAAAGATGCTACCAGAAAACTACTAGAGCTAATCAATGAATTTGGTAAAGTTGCAGGATACAAAATTAATGCACAGAAATCTCTTGCATTCCTATACACTAATGATGAAAAATCTGAAAGACAAATAAAGGAAACACTCCCATTTACCAGTGCAACAAAAAGAATACAATACCTAGGAGAAAACCTACCTAAGGAGACAAAAGACCTGTATGCAGAAAAGTATAAGACACTGATGAAAGAAATTAAAGATGATACAAACAGATATAGAGATATACCATGTTCTTGGATTGGAAGAATCAACAATGTGAAAATGACTATACTACCTGAAGCAATCTACAGATTGAATGCAATCCCTATCAAACAACCAATGGCATTTTTTCACAGAACTAGAAGAAAAACTTTCACAATTTGTATGTAAACATAAAAGACCTTGAATAGCCAAAGCAATCTTGAGAAAGGAAAACAGAGCTGGAGGAACCAGGCTCCCTGTCTTCAGACTATACTACAAAGCTACAGTAATCAAGAAAGTATGGTACTGGCACAAAAACAGAAATATAGATCAATTGAACAGGATAGAAAGCCCAGAGATAAACCCACGCATATATGGTCACCTTATCTTTGATAAAGGAAGCAAGAATATACAATGGAGAAAAGACAGCGTCTTCAATAAGACGCTGGTGCTGGGAGAATTGGACAGCTACATGTAAAAGAATGAAATTAGAACACTCCCTAACTCCATACACAAAAATGAACTCAAAGTGGATTAAAGAACTAAATGTAAGGCCAGACATCATAAAACTTTCATAGGAAAACATAGGCAGAACACTCTATGACATAAATCACAGCAAGATCCTTTTTGACCCACCTCCTAGAGAAATGGAAATAAAAAAATAAACAAATGGGACCTAATGAAACTTAAAAGCATTTGCACAGCAAAGGAAACCATAAAAAAGACGGAAAGAGAACCTTCAGAATAGGAGAAAATATTTGCAAATGAAGCAACTGACAAACGATTAATCTCCAAAATTTACAAGCAGCTCAGTATCAAAAAAAAAACAAACAACACAATCCAAAAATGGGCAGAAGACATAAATAGACATTTCTCCAAAAAAAAAGATATAGATTGCCAACAAACAAATGAAAGGTTGCTTAACATCACTAATCATTAGAGAAATGCAAATCAAATGCATAATGAGGTTATCACCTCACACCAGTCAGAATGGCCATCATCAAAAAAATCTACAAACAATAAATGCTGAAGAGGTTGTGGAGAAATGGAACCCTCTTGCACTGTTGGTGTGAATGTAAAATGATACAGTCACTATGGAGAACAGTATGGAGGTTCCTTAAAAAACTAAAATTAGAACTACCATATGACCCAACAATCCCACTACTGGGCATATACCCTGAGAAAACCATAATTCAAAGAGT